TGTACATCATATTTGAATGTTTAGTCATTCACTGAGCTTTATAGCTCACACTCGTTGTTTAATATTTTTTAGATATTTATTTGTTGATTCGAGAGCTTGAGGGGAAAGGCACTTGGTGGTGATCAAAGCAAGAGAGATTTTGTAAAGTTATTTTGAACCTTAGTTTTATTTTGAGGCAATATGAGATCCTTAATTGAGCTTAAAGTTGATTTGTTCTTGTCACACTTGCTAATGTATAATTTACCTCTAATGACCTATATTGTATTTCGATTCTTGAGTAAGTACTAAAATGATGATTATTGATGTTGAAATACATGTTATAAAATATTTTCAAGTATTCGTTAAGTGACCAAATGTCGTTATATGCCTTAAGTAAGTTCTTTGACTATTTAAACAAGTGACATTAAGTGAACATAACATGTTAGGCCCTTAAGATGCATGAAACAACCAATAATGCACAAAATGGTTAGGTAAATTGTTTTTAAGTTGACTTTCTATGCAAAATTTGACTTTGGATGCTAAATATTTGTATGATATGTTAAATGATGTTATGAAGTGTGTTGCATATGTATTATGACATGTTCTAGGTGGTTTAAAGGTGTCCAAACATGTTCGTAGACCCTGGGATCGACTACATGACCAATTAGATGCATGTTCATGCATATTAGTGTGCAATTTCTACATTTTCACGGAAAAATGATCGATCCCTTTCTCAAAAGGATCGATCTCATTAGGCAAAGGATCTATCCTTCCCTTAAAGGATCGATCCCAAACATACTGTTTTGCAAAGGATCGAACCCTCGTGAAAAGGGATCGATCCCTTCGTTGATTGCTTGATGAAAATTGGTAAAATTGAATTCATTAAAGACCTAAAGTGTTCCTTAAGTCCTTGGGTGGTTCATGAACTTTAAAATGTATTCAATTTGGTCTAGAAACATGATTTTGCAATTAAAACTTGGTTTTAACTCGGATTTTTATTGAAATTTGTTCTATTACTCTATAATGATAATAATTTCGTAAAACCTTCAATTTCATATTTTTAGTTTATTTTCATGTTTTTAAAATTTTACATTTTAATCCCTAAATTGAGCATGTTCAATTAGGTCCCAAACGATGTCCGATTAATCTGGAATTTTGGATGCCACTAATTAAGGAATAATAATTAATATTGGTGAACTTTTTTTAATATTTCTAGTTTTAATTATTTGATGATGTTAATTTACCGAATTATCCCTACTTAGCTAATAACGTGCATCTTGCAATGCTTGCAATGCGTCAATTATCTAATTGCTATTAAAGTGTTGTTTGTTTATGCGCTGCCATGTGTTGCATGATATATGATTTAAATTTGTATGCTTTTGCATAGTATGTGTGTTTAGGGTTTCTGTTATACCCGACAAAGTTCGGGTTCTAATGTACGTTCAGGTATCCGAGTTATTTCTCGTGACCAGGTACAGGGTGTTACAAGAGTAATCTGCGACAGTATAGGCACTTAAAGACTTGGCTTCAGCAAATTCCTTGGTCATGCCTATGTTCTCCAAGCTGAATTATGGAGCATTCTCATTGGCATTCAGATAGCTTGGGCAAGAGGCATTCGTAAATTACAAACTCGGTCAGATTCCCTCCATGTTGTTAAGTCGCTTTCAGTTCTTGATGCTCATTCATATCCTTTATCACTTGTCCGAGAAATTCACAGGCTACGAGCTGATGACTTGGAAACCACTGTTCAGTGGACACAGAGAAGTAAACGCTGTTGCGGATCCAATGGCAAAGATGACGGATAAGAATATTTTCTCTATAATGGTGTATGAAACAGCCCCTCCTTTGTTATCACTACTAGATCGAGCTCTCATGGCCCTCCCCCTTTAAGATTTGTTTTGTAATTTCTTAGCTGCCTCTTTTAATTAAAAAAATTATTAACAAAAAGCAATGAAAAACAGATAAGAATATAAAGAAGTGCCCACTTAATTCTCCGCTTGTCAATTGGACTCTTCTTTTTCCTGACCAAGAACGTAAAAAAGACTATGCTCTAATTGAAACAATCAAGATGTTCCCGCTATAGTTTATCTTTAATCCTAGTGAAGCATTAATATATTGTCAAAGCCACGAGAATCCTTCACAAAATATAGAAATAGATATTGAAATAATATATTCCTAAAATTTGCACGTTAAATCATCTGTCCACCGACCAGACTCTTTTGAGAGAGTTGAATCATTTTCTCTCTGGTCGAGAGCATTAAGAAACATATGCTCATATCTGGTTAAAATGATTTCTCCACTATCTTCCTGAAATTGGTTAAAAAGAATTGAGATATATCTACTATGATTACAATAATTTATTCATTATCATACCATGCGTCAAGATGTTGTTTTCTCCATTGTCTCATCGACAATGTCGAGATCTTTTACAGTATATTTAACCTGAAGATGTATTTCCTTCAATTCTCTCATCTTCTCAATACAATATTGAGAATGTTTTATTATGCATCTGACTGCTTGAAATAAGTCATCATATTGATTCTCAAGAAATGATTCCTCTAATACGATAAACATCTTTTGTAAGTATCGAGTCAAATCACTTTATAACATTCCCTCAACCAATAGGGACAAGTGGTATATCTTATTAGGGTCTCCCCTAGAAGCAACACCCCACAACCATTCCTCCATCTGTCGAGTATTAAGATTTCTAGAGTTTCTCAAAGCTTCTGAAATTCTAACTCCTCTGGAGCTCTATATCCTTTGAAGATTCACATCTCTTAGAGTTCTTCGAAGCCTCTAGTATTCTTCGTTCTTCAGGTAATTAACAACCCCTTGACGTGATCATTGATATGCTTACATGATCTCATAGTCAAGTCTACCACTTGACAATCAAATTTATTTTGTTTGTCAACTTGTCAGTAGTCACCATAACTCTACACTTGACACTTGCACTAAACATCACTACAAAATTCCTTAACCAATACTGAGAAGGAAATAATTTTTTTTGTTCTTCAACTATTTTTCCTCTTTAAACTTCATAAAAATCATACTACTTTAACATCTTCAAATTCCATCATAAACAATTAATTGTAACTCTTCATAATACAAGTTAAAAGAGATGAACCGCCTATAATCACCTAGACACATAAATTTTCGTTACCAAACGTACTTTTTATGAATGTATACTTTAAAGAATATTAGTTATTATATTAATATTATTAACTATCATGTCAATATCGCATGGATAGTTAAAACATGAAATGAATACAATTAAGTAATTTTAAAGATAAAATTAATACTAATGAAAATTAAATTATTAACTCAAATTTCTTTCCAAAAAACCACCCATTAAAGTTTATTTAAAAAATCAGCCTAAAACCATTTTACAAATAAGTACAGAAAAGGAGTGATCAAGGGTGTTGACCATTAATTATTTAAAGTCAAGCTGAGTCATATGGCCAGTTACTAGCACATTGCAGAGCTCAACTTCTTTCTGATTTTGAGAGCAGAATATGTTTTGTTTTACATATTGAAGCATTTTGTGTGATTGTTTCTCTCTCTTAATAATGAAGGTTATCTTCAACAGCGAGGGATAGCCCAAAAGGTTCAACAACTAAAAACATTTTCCATTAGTTAATGAGATACGGCGAAACAATTTCTAAAATTATTTAAAAGGCCCAAATGCAGTAAAACAAAAATGCAAATTAATCAGCTAAAAAGATCCATGCTTTTTCTTCAATGCTAATTACTCGTGAACTAAAGGGAAAAGCCAAGTATGAAATTACTTCTCTGTCTAATCCTGCTGAGGTGTTGGGGGCAGCCTTTGTAACCCTAACCAATAAACAAGATGGACAAGAGTAAATTATGAGTTTAGTACCTAAACTATTAGTTTTAGTCTGTTTAAGTACCTAAACTTTTAATTTTGCAAAACCATATCTAAAGTTTGTTTTTTGTTTCATTTTAGTACCCCATGTGCAAAATTTAACATGAAGTTTTGATTTTTTTTGAAAGTTTAGGTACTAAAATGGACAAAAATTGATAGTTTAGGTACTAAACGTGTTAAGTTTTTAACAGTGGGTAGTAAAATGAAACAAAAAACTAAACATTAGGTATGATTTTGAAAAAAATTGAAAGTTTAGGTACTGAAACAGATCAAAATTGATAGTTTAGATACTAAATAAGTAGTTTACCCAAATAAACTAATCACAAATATCATAGGGGTAAACGTTTAAGCAGTATTGGAGTAAAGGGCTTTTTATAAAATCTTAATTGCAAGATAAGATTTGGGATGATGGAGAGTTATAGTTTCATTTATGAAATTTGTAACGGATAGCGAACGCAAGTAAAATTTTAAGGCATTTAGAAGTTACAAAGGGAAAGAAATTGAAAATGAGTTTAAAGAGGGATTAAATTGACGTAATTTTAAAATATTAGAATTTTTTTAGAATATGACCAAATTATAATATAGTATAAATATTGAGAATTAAATTTTATAATATAATATAAATATCCAACTTGATTAGTTAAATTTATATTTATTTATTTTTATGTAGTGGTATAGAAATTTACTTCACAGCAATAAAAGATTATACTGATGAGATGAACTATATTTTGAATATTATATATGATGATTTGAGGTGATGATTGATAATAAAATAACCATCACCATCACCTTTCTCACTCGTCTCGGATTATCACAGATGAAACGGATGATTTTATATTAAAGAGATGAATTTATAAAATTTAAGAAATAAAAATATTTTTTTAATAAAAATACATAAAAGAAATTGTTAGTTGAAGTGGGGGGAAAATGAATAATTTGATGAATGATGAATAGCTTCCAGCAATAACCAAGTAGAATGAAGATGCCATAGCCGTCAATTAACGGTGACTGTTAGTCTCTTTCTCCCAAGTCTCACTATCAACTGACGGAAGCAAAAGGAGAGCAGTGTACATACCTCGTGAGTCGACGTCTCTATATCCAATTATTACGTTTTCCATTTCAATGTGTTTCCCACAACACTCCGCTCTTCTCCTCTCTGCGCTTTCTCGACCCCGCGTTTCTTTCTCAATGCTTTATTTTCATGGATAAATTATCGTAATTAATCTCCTCCTTATTTTATTCAGCTCCTCTGGTATGTTGGAATTTCTCTTCTTCTTTTTTAAATGAATGTGTTTGCTGTTTTCCTTGTATTCTTGCTTCTTGCTATTTTTCTATTATGCCATTGTTTAAGGGAAATATTGGGTTTTCTAATCTGACCATTTTGCTGCTAATTCATTGCTTAATTTTATTTGTTTTTGTGGGTGTATATACATCTTACTAATCTATTTGACTTATGGGTTGCAAATCTGTCAGTTAAAACTCAGACTTACAAAATGTTGAAATATATAAGTTCTAATAAAATGGGTATTGCGTTTTGTTGCTAAATAACTAAACTCTATTGTCTGTTCTGTATTCTATATTTTGTTCATGACAGCAGGAAGCACAGTTTGGGCTTAAGAGATTTATCTACGTTTCAGAAAATGGTTACATCTGAGCAAGAACATGATTTCGTTAAATGGGGTTTGCAACTATTCAACAGTGATCCCTATGCTAATTGTGGATATTGTGGCGAGCTAACTCAGGAAGATGGAGAATATTACCCTGGAAATAGTTTAAAGGAGGATCATTACGATTCGGGAGAATGTTGCAATGTGGAAAATGATGAGGCTATTGCTCATACGCTTCAACTTCAAGAACTGTCCAAACTTGCTGTTGTGGGATCTCCAAGCCATGGGGAGGAAGAAGAATTGCAATTGCAATTGCAAGTGTCTGGTTATCCTCAAGATTGTGTCAATCAGTCTGTTGCGGACTTTGGTTCTGGTATAAGCAAATTTCTGAATTTCCAGTTCAATGTTTGAAGTTGTTTATGGCTTTTAATGCGTCACATTTCCGTGTTTATGTTTTGTGATTTGTAGGGCAAGGCTATAGTGAGAAAGAGCAAGATGATACTGCTATTTCTAGTTCGTGTTCTAGCCCTGAAGAGAAATTGTTATATGAGGAGGATAGGTCATACCCATTGGTGCTAACAGATGAGTTTACTCTTGATGGCGAAGTGGGGAAAAGGCTGAATCCAATGGTTCCTGTTCCTGTAAGTGTGGATATGGTTTATATTCTTGATTATGTGATATAAAGTACTGCTGTAGCTATGCTTTTATATATATATCTCGTCTTGTTTAGCATGTTCCAAGAATCAATGGTGAAATACCCTCGATTGATGAAGCAATTTTAGATCATCAAAGGCTACTAGAAAGGTTTGCGTTTTCTTTTCTCGTTTTCCCCTTTGACCTATTTGTTGAATATATGGTTCTGGAAATTCTTATGCTACAACAGATTGGAAGTCTATAATTTAGTGGAGCTTAAAGTTGAAGGAGATGGTAACTGTCAGGTTAGCTTTAATGCTACAAGCGTGGATATTGACATCAATAAAGCTAGCATCCATTTTAGTGTTTTCTAGCATATAGCATCAGCATAATTGAAGTTGTCTAGACTGTCATTATGCAAACGCAAATCTCATGTATCCATATAAAAGCACGAGTGTCCGTTGATATTGGTTCCTTTCTAACATTAATTTCCAAGTTCTTGACACCCTTGCTGGTAAAACTTTTAAATGCTGCTAATGACAAAATCTCATCCCTCCATGATGCTTTTAGATCTTGAACTTGTGATTAATTTTGCCCCATGACATTCTTTCCGGTGGTTGTGGAAGCTCACTAATTGTTACTGCAGCACTTAATGTAAATTATATACCTGATGTCTCATTAGTTTCATGATATTGCCAGTTCCGTGCTCTATCTGATCAATTTTATCGAACTCCTGAGCATCATGAGTTTGTGAGACAGCAAGTTGTAAATCAGGTTCGCTTTTGACATACAATAACAAAGTTTGGCCTTTCTGTGGCTATATTCTTTTGTTGAAATCATTGTGCATTGCATGTAAATTTTGATGTTTAACTTTTCTTTTCTTGCTGTATCTTGCACAATCAGCTTGAGTCTTATCCAGATATATATGAGGGCTATGTTCCCATGGCATATGGTGATTATCTGGAGAAGATGTCCAAGTATTTTTCTGGTCCTCTGTGACTTAACCGTTATTCCTTTTTATTTTATTTTTCTTGACTTTTGCTTCATCATATTGATGCTTATAGGAGTGGTGAATGGGGTGATCATGTCACTTTGCAGGCTGCTGCAGATTCGGTATTTCCTATGTTTTTTTTTGTGTGTGTGATAGATTCCACATTTCCTTCCTCTCAATCCCTTAAAATCTTTTATATCGCTCATTTGGTTGAACTCGCATCTCAATTTTCCCTAGTCAATCATCCATCTATCTTGTCTCCTTATGGATCTATAGACATTGACAAGATTAGTTGATGCCAATTCCTGTGTGCTGGTTTGTAGTTTACAATATAGGAAGAAGAATGAATTGGTTATTGCAGTTTTGTTAAAAGATGCTAACATTGACTGTCTAATCCATGCTAATTTCTTGTTGCAGTATGGTGTTAAAATATTTGTCATAACATCTTTCAAGGACACTTGTTACATTGAGATTCTTCCAAATGCCCGAAGGTCAAAACGAGGTATAGTTTCTTTTGCTTCTGAGTTTCATTTATATAAATCCCTGAATAAGTTATTTTTGTTGTTTATCACCACAATTCTGATTGCATTTAATATATTGAATGCCGTTTTAAGTTTTCTTCGTAGCATTTGAGCATCTCTTGTTGTATCTCAATAGTAAGACTTATAGGTGCAAGCTGTTGTTTTATGGTATAGTATAACCATTTAGTTTATGTCTTTATGATGACGGTTACTTGATCTGATCTTCTATGTAGTTTCTCTATCCTTGTTGCGTAGTGGTTTTCTGGAAAAGGAAGATACACTATAACCAACCATTGTGATGGTTGGTGGAAATCTTATCTCGAATTAATCAGTTTGGTCCAATTTCTGCAGTTATTTTTTTGAGCTTTTGGGCAGAGGTGCACTACAACTCAATATATCCTTTTGGAGGTAAATACCTCCCTTGAAAATTACTTGTTATATATGCATTCTAGCTGGTGAATATTCGAAGTGCACTGGCCCTCCAAATTCTAAAACTGCTTCAGTTATTGGTCAAGTTAATCTCATTTAGTGGCGGGATTGAGTCAACAAATCAGTATTTGATGGAAAGCTTACCTAGTGTATGACTTCGAGTCGAAGCATATGTGCTTTTAACCATGGGCTGTAGACGGGAAGGGGCATTTAAGAAATGAAATAATGGAACTTGTGGATTAGTCATTTCTTATATCTGTATATTGTTGATCATATTATAATACTTGGTTTATATTGTTATCTTTCATATTCAGATGTGCCTGCATTTGGGACTAAGAAGAAAAGGTGGCGAATGTTGCGGAACAAGCATTTAGAATCGGGCGATGAATATCGATGAATCAATTGAGCTTTGTTGCTTTGGCAAGAAAGCTAATCTGCTTTACCACTTATTTTCTACCAATGGTGTTTTATTTCATGTTGATTTAGTGGATAGAAAGCAAGGTCGGAGACATCATCTTTGCTTGCTTCAATGCTCCACTTGAGATTGTAAAATTCTTGGATACAGATCTATCCCCATTTATTTTTCGAATAAATTTAATACAAGAAACAGACTCACACTAGTGCAATATTATTAGTTTTTGTAGGATTAATATTTGGCTTAAAACATAAATCACCCTTTGAACGCGACAGCTTCAGTGAAATTGTCCCCTGGCTTTTTCCCCATGAAATCGTCCGACAAACTTGTTAAGTTTGGTCAAATTTGCCCATATTTCCATTTTCAAAGGTTGTTATGTTTTCAAAGTTTGGGATAACTTGACTAGATTTGTTAATAATTTGACCAAATTTATCAAGTTTAATGATCAATTTAAGGTGAAACTATCCACGAATGCAACCACATATCTCAATTCAATCCGAGGGTCCAACGCAGGAAAAATTATCAAAATAATAAATAAGCGTCATCTTGATGAGTCGAAGTGCTGTTAAATCAACCCTGAAAAAAAGATTAAAAAACAAAAAAGAACGACTAAACGATCGAAAACGTGCCATAAAGACAAAATCATTAAAAACTAAAAAGAAAAAAAGAAAAAATATAATTGTTATTGAATATTTATTTATGTGGACGTCTATTTCTATCTTTTATCCTATGTATAAGATAGGGTTTTTGATGTACTTTATTATTAGGATTTTAATATCCATTAGAGTTAGAGTTCTATATGTATATGGAGTTAGGGAAGACATTGTATATAACTTATATTGAGAAAATATCTTTTAGTGATTTATTAACCAACATTTGGGTTGTATATGAATTGATAGCTAGATAAATTTAGTTATGAACTATGCTAATTGAACTAATGATATTGGCAAGAAGATATATAGCATAAAGTTGTAATATTTTTTCATGTTATTTACTTACATTGATTTTATTTGGATTAAGTTTTGGCCATCGAACCTCTGATCATTATCAAATACGAAAGTTGTTTACCTATGCTATTTATTTACATTGATGGTGACAATAGTGACATGCTATAATTATTCCATATTTATATTTTAAAAAATATTTTATCATTCATATGTATCTTATGCCATTACTGCATAATAATATGTTCATTACATATTAGAGACAAAATTAAAGAAAGTATGGCTTTGTTTCATAACGTTTAGGTGCGTACAAGTACGCATGTAAACAATACTGCTAGAACCTATTAAGTTATACCTTGATATGATGGATGCAATAATAATGTTCATTGTAGATTACAGATTCTAAATTGCGATAAACAGGTTTAATATTGATTCCTTTTGTAAGATTTTGTTTACTCGTCTAAAGGTATTTTACCTCTGAACTAATACATCCTAAAAGAGTATAGCAAGAATGAGAGTGAATATGTTTATATTTAATTTTTATGATCGTTCTTAAGATAAATAACAAAAGATAAATTGTAAAGATTAACCATTCAATGGTATTTTTATATTAATTACTTAATAGATTTGATATTTTATTTCTGGTTATAATTTTACCGTGAAAGGAATGTTGTTTTAATGTTTATTATAGTCTATGTGAGAATAACCATGATGATGTCATTGTTAACAACCTAGAGGTACACCTACCATGATTTACTTTTATTTATCTTGTTTCTCATATTAAATTGATACGGGGATGTCTCAGGTACGACGTTTTAATATACGGCTAAGAAAAGTTGCTACCGGAAATGTTAATATTTTTTTAACAATTCCGGTAAAGCGCTACCTAAAACATTATTTTTCCACCGAAAATATTAATTTTGGACGCTACCTAAAATGTTTAACATTTTCGGTAAAGCGCTACCTAAGACATTATTTTTTCTACCGGAAATGTTAATGTTAGATTCTACAGGAATTTAGTTAGCGAAAATAATATTTCTGGTAAAAAAATAGTGTTTTAGGTAGCACTTTACCGGAAATGTTAAAAAAATATTAACATTTTCGGTAGGACATTTTTTTAGTCGTATATTAAGGTTGCCGCACATCAGAACTACCCAATTGATACTAATACTTGTAATACAAAATTTTTTAAAAGCTCTAGAAGAGTTAAATGTAATTTTTATTCGAGTGAATAATTTTATGGCGGATAATGTACTTTCAAGTTTTGAGGAAACTTGTATCTAAAAATTGTCTAACTTCTTTTGTTTAACATATGTTACAGTAAATCAGAAGTTTACAAATTTTAAATGAAATTTAATCACATGTTATGGTAAACTAGAAGTTTACAAGTTTATTTTTTTTAATTAGTTGACATGATTGGTTAGACCATTCCAATCAATAATGATACAAAAATTATTGAGATTTGTATAAATTTAAAGAACCTAAAGTTCATGTGTTGTTTGTTCTCAAAAGAAATTTAGAACTTCACTAGATAAAGTTGAGATTGAATGTATTACATATCTAAATGAAATATGGGCACATTTATCCCTAAAGTGGAAAATTTTTATATGATTTCAGTGGATGCATTTATGAGAAATATCACATATATGTTAACAACTCACAACCTGTAGTTTGTGAGGTTGTTTACTCGAATAGAAAATGAAAAGTTTCAGATTATGCAATCAAGACTATTTGTCTTGCTAAACTTAGTAAGTTTATATTCCAGGCTTTTAAAGAGTATATTGTATATCAGTTAAAATAATTGTTACAAAGCATATTGTTTATGAATAAACAGTTTAGCAAAACTTTGTATTGCCTCCTTTTTATAGCTAAACTATGAAATGACTACGAGTCTCATTTATTGAATGTTTTGAGATTCAATGACTTGAATTGTCGATCATTTTATTTCATCAGGGGTAGAGAATACACAGGTGGATGAAAAAGATATGTAAATTATCATTTTACTTTGATAACCATACATAGTGATGAGAACAAGAAGTTCATAAGATAATTCATTACAAGTTAACTGTCAGAAAAAAAATTATTGACCTAATGAGATTAATCAAGTTTCATATACCAACTGAGATACTCTAAAATTGATTTGAAATCTTAGAAGGATAACATGTTAGATCAAATGAATGTAAACTATGCCCGAAGCATGATAGTTGAATTAGTTCCAACGTTTAAAATTCTCGTAAATAAAAAGTAGTATAAGATAATCATATAGCGGAGGCGGGTACTCTTGAAGAGACCCAAGGCATAACTAGTAATACAACTCTAGAAGAGTTTCAGGTACCTGAAAAAAATAAAAATAATGAAGAGATCTCGATAATTTATGTCATTATGAGAAAAGAATGGAACCAAAATAGAAAAGTTGTCGACAATAGTAAGCTTTGTTTAGATTATATATATTATATTAAGATAATAATATAATTCTCTCCCTTTATTCCTATATCTTTATTCTTTATACAATAATGAAGAGAAAATATTGTATACAGATTATATTAAGATAATAATATAATTCTCTCCCTTTATTCCTATATCTTTCTTCTTTATACAATAATGAAGAGAAAATATTGTACACAGATTATATTAAGATAATAATATAATTCTCTCCCTTTATTCCTATATCTTTCTTCTTTATATTTTTCTTACTGCTTTGTTTAGATTGTTTTCGTAATAATAATATAAAAATAAACAAAAAAAATAAAAAGCACTAATAGTTTACAACCAACACTAAAACAAATATTTCCACCCGTCAAGTAAAAATATAAAAGGGTGAGCGGCTCAAGAAAAAAAACTAGGGAAAATTTATGTAACTAATACTTGATATATTTTAATTGTATATATAATATTTTGATATGTTGACTTAGTGTTTAATGCTTATACCCTATGTTTGAGAGTTGAATGTATATAATTTGGTAATCATGGCATGTATGTGCAATGATTTAACATGTTTAGTTGATATTCGATAGGTAAGCTTCATGTTGATATATGTACATTTATGTTACTATTAAGTCACCAGAGATTTAAATTATCTTACTTTTTGGCCATTACTTCCACAACTTAAAACCTATTTTTTGGGAGGGTCCAACAACACAATCAATTAACACATTCCGGTACTCTTAATTGTTCATACATGATTTGATCAAAGAAGGAAAAATTACAAGCATTATTGAAACTCTAATTTATGTTCACTTTATCCAATCCAAAAAAATGAAGTACAAATTCATACGATTAATTACCTCCTTTCAACCCTTTTCTAATTTTGTATTAAAATTTCCCATTAGGGGCACATAATAATTCTCTAGCAATGAATTATGATGAGATCCTATTTGAGTTCACGCTTGGCCACCCAATCCCATGACCCGCAAACCACCACCTTCATTTTTTTGTCTTCCCCTTCATAAGTATTTTACCCTACATAGCTATTAAGCTTATTCATGGTTAGGTCGACCCATGATTTAATCATTCATTTTACTATTTAAGTACAGGTAAATTAGCTATCCGTCATCTTCAATGTTTGATGCTTTCATAAAATCAAGCATGGCAGATGCCCATTATGATTGTTCATCCCAATTCATATGGAAATTATAAAAATTAATCAACTTATTCATCATTGACGAGTCCCTAAAAATTAAAAAGAACCCAATTTAAAACTCCTTTTAATTGCATTTTATGTTTATATGATAATTAACTATTCATAAAAAATATATATTATAATTATTATTTTAAAATAAGTAAAAGATTTCTCCGTTAAATTAACTTTTAAATTGGATGTTAAATACTAACTTATCTCAAGCGTGGATTAAATTTTAAATATATATAAAATCCTAAATTAAGAATCAACCTTGAATCATTATCCATACATATATATGCTTGAAACTGATCTATGTATGTAAAATACAATTTAAAATATATTGATATTTTAAAATTTTAATCAAAATATCTAGAGTTTCATGACCAATGTAAACGTAGGGGCAGGGCCGGCTCTGGGCAGGGCAAGAGGGGTCCAGGGCCTATAATTTTAATTTATATTAATTTATTATATTTTAATAAACTAAATTAAAAATATGATCTATAAATATTAATATATTATTTTCTTAATTAATGCAAGAGGGCCCGTAAATTTATTTTTTATTGATTTATTTTTTTCATCATAATGTTAAAAATTATATTAATATATTAAATTAAAAGCAA